CAGGTTCAGTACCGCCCGGCCGCGGCTTTCGAAGGGACGCCCGGCTGTAAAGGGGCTCAGCCGCCCGCTTCCAAGAGCCCCGCCGGGGGAAGCGATTCTGAATATCCAGTCAGCGTTTATCTGAGGGCCTTGTTCCTCCGTGGCGTCGTGATCGAGTCGCCCAGCTGAAAGATCCCCGGGCCGGGCTGCTCGGAGGAGCCGCTGCCGGCGCGGGGTCCGGCGGGCCCCAGCCCGGCTTTGAGCGGGGGCCCGCTGCGGGCTTCACAGACGGGTCAGGAAATAAGAGCAAGACGGGTGGGCTTTTCCAAGGGACCCGCCTGGGGCTCCTTGCTGCGGGTCTCCGTCCCGCGCGCCCTAACCAAGAGAGGTGAGGCACCGACCCGGCAGCGCACCTGATAGTAACCTTTGCCGCCTCTCGGTGCCTGCCCGGGGCTGGGCATGGCCAGCCTCCTGCGTCCACCACCGCCGAAAGCCACCAGGTAATTAATTAGCCTTTGCCATTTCTTCGGGGACAAAGCATGCCCCCCAAAAGACGAGTCCCCCAGTGCAGTTCCTTAGGAGCTTTTCTGGCTGTGCAAGATTTGCAGGGTGAAAGACAGCTTCCTCACCTTTTTATGCGGCAGCGCCAGTGGCAGTGAATGGAGCAGGGGCCCCTAAGCGTTTCACGGTCCCTGGGTGCCCTTGGCAGCAGCGGAATGAATGCCAGACGTGCCTCCCTGGGACAGCACGTAACGCTCCGGCAATGCCTTGAGCTCCACACCCGGAGGGGGACCCAAGAGGGCGGTCCAGCGTTTGAAATGTTCAGATGAATTGCCACTCTCCATTCAAATTCGTTAAAATATACCCCCAAGGGTCCTTCCTGCCCTCTGGAGTCCCCTCTGCCACCCCTCCCTTTCCTAGCTTTTGACCTCCAGACCTAGGATGCAGGTGCAGGGGGGTGGGAAGGAACAAACACCACTTGGTGCCCAGCCGGCCTTGCGGAGCTTAAAGACCCCCCAGCTCATCACTTCTGGCTGTGGAGGCGGGGCTGGTCCAGAGGGCATTCCCCTTGGCCCCTCTGCAGCACTCCGCCAAGGCGGCCAGGCCACCCAGTGGGCAACTTCAAGGGCAAGACGCCAGCTGCCGGCCAGCCAATGTCCATCCTGCCCCCTCCTCCCCGTTTCTGAAGCCTGTGCTGGCAAATCCCATTTCTGCTGCAGCTTCTCTTTGGAGCCTCCAATCAGGAGCCTCCCTGGTGACATCAGCCTTGAAAGGACATCATCAGCTCCCTCCCGAATGTGAAACAGGCCGGCAGACAATGCAGCTGGAGGTGATCCGGCTCCGCAGCCGTTGCGCTTTCGAGCTTCCACGGGAAGATGGAAGAGGGGCTGGGGGACTCAGGGCCAAGGGCGTTTTATTGGGACGCAAGTTCACAGGGCAGGGGGCAAGGCTGCCCCCATTTGTGCAGCACAGAGGCTGCTGGAGGGGAAGGAACTGAAGCTCTCCCAGGCTTCTCTTTCCAGGGTCAGCGGTGCTTTTCCTTCCGAATGGCCTCCAGTCTCGCCTTGGTGGCGGTGGTCGCTTTGCGTGGCAAGCCCTCCTCATCTAGGCCACTGGCCAACCCAGCTCCGGACTTCCCAGAACTTTTGCCCTGAACAAAGGAGACAGCGCAGGTCACCGGGGCTTCTAGTAACACAGCAGGGGGGGGGGAAGAGCCCACCAGCCACCAGTAGCAACAGGGCAGCACGGTGCCCAGAGCTCCATCCGTCTGCTCTTCAACAGAGAGAGGAAGGAAGGGCAGGAGCAGGAAGGAAGGCTGAGTCCTGGACCCATCACGACCCCTCAGAGACCAGAGGGGTCTGGCTGAGCCTTTCTCTTCCCCAGAGGAGGAGAGGGGAGTCTTACCACCACCTGGTTGGCCATGGAGGACAGGAGAGATTCCATGGTTGGGGGCTTCTTCCCGTCCTGGCTCTTGAGTACCCTAAGGCGGCTTTTTTCAAGGAACTCACACTGGTTGCGAAGGGAGTCTAAGGGCAAGCAAAGGCTCATCAATATATTATTAATATACATAACTCACACTGGTTGCGAAGGGAGTCTAAGGGCAAGCAAAGGCTCATCAATATATTATTAATATACATAACTCACACTGGTTGCGAAGGGAGTCTAAGGGCAAGCAAAGGCTCATCAATATATTATTAATATACATTAATAAATTATTGTGAAATTAGTAATAATAGTAACTGCCCTGAAGGCAGGTCCCTCTAATCCTCCCTAATTTGGGTGGGGGGAGGAGAGAAAGGAGGCCAAGAGGGAAGGCATCACTCCCACTTAGCCCCCCTAAGAATGGAGCTGGCGGGGAAGGAAAACAGTCCCTCCTCTCATGGACTGTTGAAGCCAGAAATATGCAAAATTCTACAGAAATTTTAACATGTTTTCTTTAAGAAAGGAAGGACCCCCATCCCCCTCTTCTCAAGTCCAGGAAATACAGAAAGCACTCTCCTTCTGAGGGTCTCTCCCGCCCCCCTCGCTTTTGTATCCGTCCTTGTCTTCCCCCCAACGTTACGCAATCTGCTGGCCATCAAAAGGCCGATGCCACCTGATTTATAACTCTGGACCGTTCCAAGATCTCAGTCTAGAACGTCACAGATGCCCCTTGGGTCCAGAGCTGTTAGCCAGTGTCCTGCCATCTTTCCTCCTTCTGGCAACCCCCGAACCAGCCACATTGCCACTGCTTCATTGTGTGTCACTGTCAGGGGCAGCAGCGGTACCCCACTCCTTCATTTTCCAGGGGAAGAACTGTGAGGGCTCGTGTCTGCTTAGACCACCCCTCTTTTGGACCTGGCAGCTCTCCCCCATTCTGCTCGCTCCTCACGGGGGCCAGAAGCTGTCTCCTTGGAAGGAAAAGGCCCCGCTTCCCTCCAGGAGGCTTCTCCACGGACTCCCTCGGGCTGGGACTAGCACTGAACCCAGATGTGGAGCCAGAGCCCCAGCCCTGCGCCACGGTTTCACCCCCGCAGACCCCTACCCAGCAAATCCTGCGGAGGGAACTTGATGATGGGATGAAAGGCCCGATAGCTGTGTTCATTTTTGGTCCCTGGAGAGAAGGAGGGGAGGAACCCACATTAGCTGCTGGGATCCCGGCGAAGACTTTGGAGATTAGTGGCAAACGCTTTGGTCTGCACAGATACCAGGGTGCAACAGCTGGATATAAGAATGGTCAGGAGGTCAGCCCCAAAACCATGGCATAAGATAGCTGGCCGGTATGCAGACTGTCCCTCGGGCCCAGTCCCCAGTTAAATGGTCCGCTAACAGGGGAGGGAAAGGCCTCTGCTACGGACCTAGCTGGGAAACTGCCCCCCGCCAAGGCGGGCAATGGTTAAGGAGGATTCCGCCCAGGCAGCTGCTCAGAACAAGGCGATACTGGAGAAGATGGTGCTCTGGAGAGATGGGGGGCATTTGTCGACCTCCCAATGACTTTCCAGAAAGTTTGTTTGGAGCAAAAGCAGGTCTGGGACCCTGATGGCCGCCCTCTGGGGCGGCCTGCTCCCTGCACTCACCCACCTGTGGTGCCACGTTCCACTTTACATACATAGTAGGTTCCCCGTGCGGTGAGGAACTTGCTGGCGTTGTCTTCTGGGAACTTGACCAGGAAAATCAGCTTCAGAGTCCCATTCTCTTCACACAAGTCAATGGGGTCTGAGAAGAAACTACAGAAGTAGGGAAGCAGGACCTCCCCCCCAAGGAATGGATGACTTTGCCCCTCTCTCCTCCTTCCTCACTCCATGGGGGAGCCAGTTGGATCCCCTGGGGGTTCAGCTTCCCAGGAGGACAGCAGCATCCCAATATCCCAACCTCCATGGTTCCCAACCCAGCAGAATCACACCATTCAGCCCCTTCCTTTGTAGCTTTATCCTAACATCAAATTCAGGAGTAAACTGAAGAGCCTGAACACCTGATTCGTCCCTCGAGCACAAGGCCAGGAAGTTGGGTGAGCTGCCAGCTTGTGAATTATTGTGCTGCAGGTGCTCTGTGTTTCTATTGGTTCATTTTCATTACCCATGTATTTTTCAGTTGTTTCTAATGTTGTCATCTGCCCAGAGTCACTGGGCAAGTGGAAACCCATACAAATTGAGTGAGCCAGTGAATGAATGCATGGATTAATGAATGAGGTTGTGTGCATGGAAGCCCCACCTGGTTTTGGGGCCCAGAGCTTTCATCTGACCAGGATCCACACCTAAACACCATTGTTCCCAACAGGCATGAAGCCAAGTAACTTCTCTCCATCTCCAAAGTCCTCTTCTTCCTTACCTACCCCAAAGCCATGCTTCTTTATCCAAACACTACAGGCCTTTCTCCCAGAATCTGGGTCTTCCCAATTGCCCGTGGAGACCATAAGTTCCCTCAAGGCTTTATTTCCAGGCAATGGGATATCACAAGGAGTCAATGCCCCTGTAGGGACACTGATGTTTCCCACCACAATTACCACTCATGTGATTCCTTCAAGGGTTACCTAAACTACACTCGGTGGAGTCAAGCTCCAATCCAGCAGACCCCCTAGCCTGACCATCAGCCACACTCCCTTCTGAGCCACGTCTCTGCCAATATCCCAATGATGGGCGGCACTCCCCTCCCTTGGCCCTGGGGGAGCCTTCTCACCTGTCCTGTGCAATCCCACCTTATCACGCAGGTAATGTGTTAGAAGTAAAATGGAGCAATTGATGTTGGCCAAGAACTGCCGGTTGTCTGAAAGGAGAGGAGCCATGGTCACTGCTGAGCGATGCGTTTTCCTGGCTCAGAAGGGTGCCTTCTGCTGCCCTGGCCCATCTCTCCCGGGGAATGTAAGCAGGTCTGGGCCTGACTGGCAACCAGAGCCACCCTCACAAGGGAAGGAAAGGTTGGAGAGGAAAGGATATGCGAGTGGGGAGGGGAGAAGGAATAGCATTCCAACTCTGGCTGTGGCCATTTTCCTCAACCCTTCAGAGGGGCTGAAAAGCTGCCCTAAGGAGAGACATCTGAGATCCAGACACCAATCTGAAGAAGTGCTGAGGACCTCTCTCCCTTCCAAGGCTTCCTCACGGTCTGACTCTTCTGGCACTGGCAGCAGTGACCCACAGAGGCGTGGGCTTCCCTTGCTGGATGCATCCAAGCCAAGATGGAGGGCCATCATGCAGGGTTGCTTGCACTGAATAGGGGATAGGCTCCATGGCCCCAAAGTTTATTTGTCCATACAACCAGCCTTGTGCCTCCAGTCTTTGGAATGACAAAAACATTAATTCTGGATTACAATGATGACTGTGTGGCTAATAAAACATGTTGGTTTTTTTTAAAGGAGCCTGAAGCTGCATAAAGTGGGGTTCGCAACCTGCCCTGGCAATACCCCTGCCGAGTGCCGAGTTTCTGGGGGGAGGGCGTACATTTGGAGAGTCTGCTCCTGGCCCCAAGGAGTCCCAAGAGGCCCTGCCTCAGCTTCCCCATTTGCTTCATCCCAGGGGCCCACAGGAACAGGAGGTGATGGCAAGCCATCCTGCCTGCCCCATGTCCACTCCATGGATCTTTCCTTACCCCCATGCTTGATGCAGATGAACATGCCCCAGCTGCCTTTGGCATGGCTGACAAATTCTCCAGCTGTTGAGCAGCCACAGGGCCATTGTGACATGTCATAATGAACAGCTCTATGAGGCAAGCTGGCAGGAATTTCACCCTGACCTGGGGTTTCCTCAACCATAGTCTGCTGAATCAACCATAATAGGCCAGGTCCTGCATTGCACTAAGCCGTAACAGGGCTTGCCTGGTTTTGGTGGGGAGCCAAATCTAGCAACTGTGGTTTATAAACCCCACCAATTGTGGTTGACTCAATAAATAATAAATAATAACCAAACAAGCAATGGTTTAATACACTTTGCAAATCAGGTCAATGAAATACTCTCTGAGTAAGTCTACAGCGTGTTTAATGAGAACCCATTTCAGGACCATCTTTTGCTTGAGCTCACCATGCATATTGATGAGAATCTTGTAATTATTAATTTGAGGAAAATCTTATGCAGACAGAGGCAGCTAAGTGACAATGCGGTTTGGATGCAACAGCTCAACCATCAAACTAGGACCGATGTTGCCGGAAGGGGGGGCAACCAAAGATGACACCCAGATTGATCAGATGAAGGAGGCAGGAGACCGAGTGACTGAGTGCCTTTTTATTAGAATATAGGAAACGCCCCCGTACAGTCAGCAGCAGGAAAGCAGGAAGGGGTCGGTGGAAAAACCAAGGCCGCCTGGGGTGGGATGACACGGCTGAAGAGAAATCCAGCACCGGGGTCCCAACTCCCTCTGGAAGATTGCTGGCCCCGATCAATAAGGGGGAGATTCGGGAGGCGAAGGCAGGAAGCCTGCCGTAGGAGGATGAAGCTCTGCCAGCGATCAGCTTAGGCACGCACAGCACCCTCTTTCAGCTGGGGGGCAGTTCGTATTATTCCTTTCATGGGCTGAACAAGTTCTCCTCTTTGGTCCCATCACAAATGACAGGTAGGGTGGCCACTTCGAGGTGCTTTGGAGGCAGGGGAAGCCGAAGCTTTCAGAGACTGTGTGCAAACTCAGGCGGTGAGCGCTGCTGCATCCGGGTGGACCTTGGAAACCAGGTCTGCTGAAAGGCCAGGGGCCCCTCCGGTCTTAACTGTGACGTCGCTGCTGACGGACAGGTAGCCCCCGCTGGGCAGCAGCTCAGTGACGGAGCAGATGTTTTCAAAATAGTTGGGCTTGAAACTCTCCACCGCATCTTTGGAGACTCCAGCCCATTCCTGACAAAGAGAGGACACGCTGGAAAGGCACATGGCCCCCGCACCTAAGGCAGAGGAGGCCCTTCTCCCCTCCACGTGCCTGGCCTTTTTCTGGACTGAGACCCTCTCCCTTTGTTAACCGCCTGCTTGCAGACGTGCAGAACCAAAGTCTGTGGCTGCAAGGTGACCCACTAGACCTTCTTCTCACTCGCATAAAGTATAAATCACCTGAATTTTCCTGGGAGTCTGAAGCCAAGTCATGACTTAAGCTTTGCCAGACTTACTGAGAAATTGCCTTGATATGCAGTGAAGAGATCCTCAAATTTCTTGCTGGGGTTCGGGATTCTGGGCATCAGGATCACCCACACTCTGTTAGAAAGGTTAGACTGGTGAGGAGGCGGAACGGGATTCACACTTCTCCTCCCTACACATTTCATGCATCTTTTTAAGACAAAAATGCTACAGAGAGAAAAGGTTCTTGGGACAGTCAAACTAGCAGGCACACTGGTGGGATGCGGTTTCCTCAAGAACCACACCTGGCCTCTTCTGGAGGAAGGGGCGGTGTCACGACACACAGCGTGGCTCCATCTTTAGACATCTGGGATGAGATGCACGGGGAAAAGCCACCCCCTTACGCTATAGTGAAAATTGTTCTGTAGAGTGAATGGGCGGTCTCGCTGCTTGGCAATGGACCCACAGTTCTGAAGAGGTAGGGCTTTGTGGCGCTGCTTAAGCAGCCTTGAGTCAGTTGTAAGACTGCCCAAAGAGGCAATTGGTGTGTGGGGAACTTCCTTCCACAACTCCCATATGGTATGGCTGTGGGGCACCCTAGGAGGGCAAGGAAGCCATCCTGTATCCACTTTTTAAGGCCTCCTTTTGTTCATCGGGACCGCACTAGGAAAAGCCAGCTCTGTCCCCTCGGTGGTTGTAAATGGGCTGCATTCAACATTTGGAAGGATGGGGAATCCTCTCTCCCCCCAACTGGGGCCCTAAGACAAATGGGGGTCCAGGCAAGTGCCACTTCCAGCCCCCTGCCTCAGTTAGCCCACCAGAGCAAGAAACATTACGTGGGGGACATGGAAGGCCTCTCTCTCTGTTGGTGGGCCATGCTGTGGGGCAAGACACCTCCATTTCCCCACCTACCGTTCCAACCCAGGAGCCCCTTGCCCCAAAGAACTCTCTCAGCCCCCAGCCTTGCCCAACAGCCCTGCTCACCTCTCCATCCACACCAGGGCCAAGAGCAGCATCAGCAGAACGAAGAACGAGCCCAAGGGAATCACAATGCTCAGAAGGGAGGGGGACAGCGGGAGCGGGGATGCATCTTCTGCAAAGGAGAAAGCAGGGTGAGCAAGGCAAGGCAGGACCTCAGAGAAGCACCTCCCTCTGGCCTGCAGCCAAGCCCTACCACGATCTGCTCAACTTCGGCTCAGTGCTCGGGTTCCTGTGCCAGTCACAGGATCTGCCTCTTGGCGCAAGTTCTCCCACGCTGTTTGAAGGCCAACTCAAACTTTTTACTCTCCACCCACCAGTCCAAGGCAGTCCAAAATCTCCGAGATGGGACAGAGTACACCAGAATTGCCCGGCCCATCAGATCAGGATAGCCCTGTGGGCACGGGGAAAAAAAACACCATCCAAAGGTTTGGCCTCCTCTCTTTGAGTTCAGTTCGCCGGGGAGTGAAGTTCCCCTGCAATGATCTGTCAGACGGCCCATCATCACAGGCCTGCACGTGTCCTGTAACAGCCAGTAGGTGGATCAGATGCAGGTGGGGGAAAGCTTTAAAGGATCCCCACCGCCTTTTGGGCTTCGCAGTTCCATCCATACCCACCTGGCATTTGACTATTAAAGGCTCTTCACCCAGGCCTCTGGGTGAGGGACAGGGAGACCTCTCGCTTCATTGTGCTTGCCACCAGAGGCATTGAGAATGAGGCGGCACACAGGTTTAGTCAAGTATTGTTTATTATTATTCAAGGAAAAGGCTTCTTTAAGTCAAGCTGGACTCTGCTGACTTCCTGGATGTTTCTGCGCTGGGACAAGGGTGCTTTGCCGTTGTCTTCTTGGGCTACAGGGCAAAAATGAATGGTACCAAGGCAGATGCTAACAATGCCCAGCAGAGGGGAACAGCACTTGCTCCTGACAAACTCTTCCCTCTTGGGGTTTGGTCCACCTGCTGGATCAGCTGCAGCAGGGCTTCTCCAGAACAGAGGGAGAAGCCCCCTGACTCAGAAGCTCGGTCGCGTCTTCTTTGACTATCGTTTGCAAGATGAGCAGAAAGGTTTCCAGGGGTTATAGATACGGGCAGGACAGAGCGAACAAGTTGCTCTAGTTTCCAAAGAAAAAGAAGGGCGAGTTGGGCTGACGCTGTTCTGGAGGCTCGTTACCAGACTAGAAGATGGTAATGGAGTCTGCAAAGTCATCTATGTCTGATACATGGATCAATCCATAAATGTGACCAAAGGAGAAAGCGTAGCTCTCTTCTCTGCTGCCTCGATCTTGGCTTGCACAGTTCCTCCCATCTGCACTCCCTCCTTTGCCCTCTCGACCATGTTCTGAATTCACTACAGGTAGTCCTCACTTAACAGCCACTCGTTCAGCAACCATTCAAACTTGCAATGGTGCTGAATGAGGGGGGCTTACAACTGGTCCTTGAAGGCACCTTGGGAGCCTCGTCCTTTGCTCAAGGGGGGATTCACAGGACATGCTAAACCAAAAGGAAGACTGTAAAGCATAGTTTACAGATGAGCATCTTGTGGGAACCCAGCAAATTACGGCATTTCAATACATTACAGGTAAGTGAACAATGACTCGGCATGCTGCGCACACACGATCAGAGGAGGAGATGCCCCCGCAGACCGGCACAAGGCTTCCCAACTGCAGGACCTAAGGGCAGAGGAGGTGGCCGGGGGCAGGGCTGGCTGGATCGTCTTCCTGCTTCCCTTTCTCAGCTCTTTGAGGCAGAAACCTGTCCTGTCCTCCCCACTTACCTTTTCCCCACAAGACAAATTCGGATGGCTGGCTCCAGAGCTTTGTGGATGCACAATTGTTGTGCAGTTTACTCTTGACATAGAAGGTGTAGAGTTTCTCAGGATCCACACTGGGGATTTGGAACGCCATGCTATTTACGTGGTGCTCCTGGAAAGCAACGCAGGACAAAAATTCAACTCCCGTCATGCCTCAAGAGTTCGGCATGCAAAAGCCAAGCCCCAGCACCATAGTTTGTCTCAAAGATGCCATGGGTGCTTTTGCTGCCACAGACCAGGCAGCTTCCCCACTGGAAAAAGGAGCTCCTAGCCAGCCCCTCCCCACTTCCTCAAGCAAAACAGGGAGGACTGGGCCTGAAGAAGGAAAGGAGGTGGCCATTCAGCACCCGCAAGACTTCCTTTGGGACAGACACTCACTGGGTTCATCCCTCCTACTCGGTCATAATGTGGGTGGCTTCTCTGTGACCATAAGCAAGCCCACCCACTGACCCATTCAACCAGTGCAACATCCCTACCATCCAGTGCGTGTCCTTGTTGCTCTTGTAGCTGACCGCGTGCTGCAAACACATGGGTCTTTTGTATGGGGACTTCCAGGTCAGGAGCAGCTGGTGGTTGCTCAGGTTGTGGAAGGTGAGGTTAAAAGGTGGGCCGGGTCTCACTACAAGACAAAATTCAGATGAAGCTCTGGTGGGGACAGGAGCTTGAACCACTGGTGTCATCCCACTCAGATTTAAACCATCTCCCTTTCAGTGACAGAACAGTTCCAGCACAGAGCAATGAGGGAATCAGCAAATTCAGAGGCCAGGGAATCAGCAGCTGCCAAGCCAGCCCCCTCTCTGGCCAATCCCTCCAAGCGCCCCCTTGAACTCCCCTCTGCTTGGATCTGGAACTGGGCCCCCGGAGCTTGGCAACTTTGCAGGGCTCGCAAAACTGAGGACAATGAGAATCCACTGCAGGGGGAGAGCTGGGAAGTTAGGAAAGGTTCCCACTGCTGAGGCACTGCTTTCCTGCAATTAAATTGGAAATTCCAGATCACGTTTAATGTGATCCTATATTATTCATAATGCCTTTCCCCCATCATCAAGAATCTTTCACGTCATATAAGCTCACAAATCACTCCTTTTCAAGTAGCTGTTCAGAGGGGCTAATTAAGAGATTCCTCCTACAAATGCAGCCTGTTTCATTACTTCCCATCACCCACAGCTGAGAAATTTCTTCTTAATTCTCCTTAATTTTATGCATTTATTATTTTTTTACATTGTTTTTAGTTTTTATTTTTTTTAGCATAAGCTGCCCAGAGATTCTGGAGTCAGACGGCCTCTAAAGCTCATAAATAAGTAAGTAGTCAACTTCTGCTTCTTGGCGGAAGCCCTGGGAAGATTTTAATTCCTGATTTTTTTTTTTTAAAGCCCCCCCCCCCCCAAGTCAAATATGCAAGAAATTCCAGTTCTCTTTTCAGGAAAGATTGTCTAACACACCAAAGTCAACTAAGGGGTAAATGTCCCTGTTGTGGTGAGCAGAAAGTAATAAAAGGGGCAGAACCTGCAAACAGAACAGTTTTAATTAAAGATGTAGCAAAATTTAAACCTTCTAGTGTTTTTACTGCATGTTATATGGGGGAAAATGCCCCACCACAAAATCAACCCCGCCAGGAGAACAGAGAAACCTTTGAAGGGAATATAATACAGTGATGTCATTGTGACCACCATCATGAGTGATTCCTGGAACCCTCAGGTGCAAGTTTCCAAGCCGTGTTCTAGGGTGAGAATGAATTCATAAGCAGGGTAACACAGAAACTGGGATCAACTGGAGGCTTTATAGCAGGGAAATGGTTGGCCCTTAAAGTACAGAGAGGAACAGACAGGTGTAGCTGTAATTCCCAATGGGGCAGATTAGGAAGCTGGGCCCTCTCGCCGTTTGAATTACTGATTGCCTGCTTACGAATTCACAGCGCAGAAGATCGTCCATACCTAGATCATTCAGGAGTAAGGATTCAGTGGGAATAATCCTCCCCTGGCTTCCATTGATGTAAGTTCTCAAGTGGTTGAATGGTTTATATTTACTGAACCGGCATGCCACGTTGAGTCCAAACATCTGGGTGTAGTCCTTGCACTCTTCCACAGGGTCGTTGATTCCTTCATACCTGTGCGCAGAAAAGAGAGTCTGGATCCTTTTCTATTGACACCTCCAGGTTGGTCACGTGGGCACTGGAAAAGCAGCGCAACCATGGCAGCGGCTGGCCATGCTGAAGGACCTTCCAGCCTCCCTCCAACCCTGCCGTTTCATGAGAGAGTCACTAGCCCTGACTGGCTTGGTTTCTTAGAGCAGCCAGAACCAGGCAGCAGCGCTTGAGGATCAGAAGATGACCGTGAGCTTTGGCCGGTCTGAATCTCCAAGCAGCGGCTGACCCTTCCTTAGCAGAAGGAGCGATTCCGTGGAAGGTCCTCTGTGTCAGTGTGAGATGCCCGGTCTTTGCAAGGGAGGGGGAATTTGGACAGCTGTCCCTTGTGGTCAAGAGATGAAGGAATGGCCAGAGCTGAGAAAGGGGGGTGCAGCCCAATGGGCAAAAAAGGCACAGGGTACCTACCAGAAGTAGAAGGAGTAGTTGGTATCTGGCATCTGCTCACTGCCCCAGTCGCAGATCACGTAATCGCCATTGTGGCAAATGCACTCCACTGTGGGAAGGAAGAACAGGCATCCCCCCTTTCTGTGAAGTTCTGCCCTCGAGCCTGGGGCTCCTTCCTTCGCTGGGCAAGGAAGGGCTGAGAACGGGCTCTCTTGTGAGGCTCCAGAGCTCTCGACCGGCTCTGTGGTGCTTCTGCTCAGAAAACCTGCTTTTCTTCTTCCCCTTTCCTTGGTTTTTACTCGATTTAGAGAAGATCAACGTGCTCCTCCACTGGGCCTCTCCTAACACAGCCCTTTGGCAGCATCTAAATTCCCCATTTGCAAGAGAAGGCTGAGGAAGTGGCCCGGTTCTGTGTGGGGTACTGAAAGCCTTTCCCCGAAGCATGCCTTCCCCCACGCCATCTGTTGTTTCTCAACGTTTCCAAGGTTAATATCAATTTTCAGGGCGGTTAGGTTGGACTGATTTAGAGAAAAGCAGGACCATGGTTGTTCGCCAATTGAGCTAAGCCATGGCTTGCAGGCCGAACTGCTACAGATGGGTCCGCCTGTTCGCTAAGCCACAAATCATGGTTTACAGATGACAACAGCCCAACAGCTTAGTTAAGATGTGCTAAGCTGGAGAGAACTTCCACCTGATTGATTTTCCTCCTTCCTTAATGGAAAGCGCAAAGAGAATCTGGGAAGCGGGTCTCAGGTTCTGCCCTCCCGGCTACCCTCCCACCCTCCTGCGGATAGAAGCAGGGAAAGCGGGCCAGTACCTTTTGGCTGTGAGCTGCCTGCCGTGGGCTCGCCCGGGTCCACCAGCAGCAAGAGGAGCCCGAACGCGACCCCCAGGCAGCCCGAGGCCCTCATCCTCTTGCTTGGGAAAGGGCTGCTGCTCCGGAGCTGCACGCTCAGCGCGCGCGTCGAAACAAGATGAAAGATTATCTGTGGCTGACATGTATCACTTCCGCCATCACCGGTTTCCTGTGGAAAGTTCTGTCGTGAAGTCTCGAAGAGGCGGAGGGTGAGGGCCGTGGGGATTTCCACAGGTGGCCAAAGCCCTTGGGAGGCCTTGCTTGAAACCAGGAGAAAAAGGAATGGGCCAGCCACTGTCCAGAGCCGGGCATCCCCAGAAGGGGCTTTTCAGATGTTATTTTTTATCCTGCCTTTCTTATTCTTACAGGTGAGCAAAGGTGGTGAGCATACCCAGCGCTCCTTCCTGCTCACGCCACCCCTGTGAGGCAGGTGGGCTGAGAGAGGGCCAGGGCACCCGGCCTACCGCCCCTGCTTTCCAGGCCCGCCCTTCGCTGCGGGACCCAGCAGGCTACCCCCGGGAAGCAGGGGAGGGCTGCAGGCCAGAGGCGGCTCTCCGGGAGGGCACCAGGACCCACTGCCACTCGCACAGGACCACCTCGGGGCCACCTCCTCCTGAGCAGCCTGGGAAGCCAGCTTGGGATGGAAAGGCCGAGACCCCTGCCCAGCGCTACTTACCAGGAAGCCCGGACATGGGTGCCCTGCGGCTTGGTTCAGGGGCACATCTGGGAGGCCCTTGAGGGCACTGCAGGGGAACAAGGTAGCCAAAGGGGGGGGCAATCCCTCCCGTGACAGCAGATTTTTGTTGTCATTAAGTCATGTCCAACTCTTTGTGACCCGATGAACCATATCGCGCCAGGCCTTCCTGTTCTTCACTGCCTCCCGGAGTTTGTTCAATTTCATGTTCCTTGCTTCGGTGATGCTATCTAGCCATCTCATCCTCTGCCGTCCCCTTCTCCTTTTGCCTTCCATCTTTCTCAGCATCAGGGTCTTTCCCAAAGAGTCCTCTCTTAGCATTAGGTGGACAAGGCATCTGAGCTTGAGCTTCAGTATCAATCCTTCCAATGATCAGTCAGGCTTGATTTCCTTTAGGATTGACTGGTTTGACCTCCTAGCAGTCCAGGGGACTCCTAAGTCTTTCTTCTCCAGCGCCACAGTTCAAAGGCATCAATTCTTTGGCGTTCAGCCTTCCTTATGGTCCAGCTCTCACAGCTGTACATCACTACTGGAAAAACCATAGCTTTGACTATGCGGATCTTTGTCGGCAAGGTGACGTCTCTGCTTTTTTTAATGTTGAGTTTCAAGCCAGCTTTCGCACTCTCCTCTTTCACCCTCATCATCAAGAGGCTCTTTAGTTCTTCTTCACTTTCTGCCATTAGGGTGGTATCGTCCGCATATCTGAGGTTGTTGATGATTCTCCCTGCAATCTTAATTCCGGCTTGTGATTCTTCCAGCCTGGCATTTCTCATGATGTACTCTGCATATAGGTTAAATACGCAGGGTGACCGTATACAGCCCTGTCGTACCCCTTTCCCTATTTTGAACCCATCGGTTGCTCCGGGACCGGTTCCAACTGCTGCTTCTTGGCCGCATACGGATTTCCCAGGAGGCAGGTAAGGTGGTCTGGCACCCCCGTCTCTTTAAGAGTTTACCAGAGTTTGTTGCGATCGGCACAGTCGAAGGCTTTTGCGTAGCCGGTGAAGCAGAAGTGGACGTTTTTCTGGGACCCTCGTGCTTTCTCCATGGTCCAGAGGAC